ATGGAAAGTTTCATTCAAGGTAAGGTTTTTATGCGTTTTTTGCAGCTATGCAATGCAGAAAACGCATACTGACGAGAGGTTGTCTGTGTATGTATGTGTCTGTGTATTCGTCTGTACTGATTTTTCATCTCGAGACCGGCAAAAGCTATAGGGCTGGAACTTTGGGGACATAACACTCAAAAGCTAGAAAGCTGAAATTTTAAGGGAATGTTCCCTGTCCAAGTAGGTACTGATGAGCTCAAACCCAACCCCCGGGTAAGCGTAGTACCCGGGTACGGGCCCGCCAAAATTTTCCCACGTAAATTTATAACTCGGGGATCTGAGATGCTAGAAAGCTGAAATTTTAGGGGGTGTTTCCTGCCAGTTTTGGCGGCCAGTCTTAATTTGTTTAGCTAGAAGGATTTGCCAGGAAACCGATGCCGGTAGCGACAAAAACTGCGAGGAACTATGCAAAAAACGCATCTTCGTACGGGCAGCCCGTGCGTTGGCCAATTATTTTCATTTCTACATTGTTTGCACGGAAAAGGTGTTCAGTCTCTAAGTGCCGGCATTGTTCGTGGGAAAGTACACTACGATGAAACGGCCTCTGACCAGCTTATATGCTGTATATTCTGTAGTATGATTATAAAGTATTAGGACTGCCAAGAACACCGCCATCGCCAAAAGAGGCTGCTCTAGCGGAAAAATGCCTATAATATACTCTGATCATAATCCCTCCATAATGTTTGATATTATAAATGCCCAATAATAAAGCGACTGGGCAAGTTGCTTTGATTATCTTTGCTTTTTTTTTTCGAGTACACTCGATTCTGCCTTTTTCCAGTTCCTAATTTAGGGGTTGTTTTTTTAGACTGCTCTTAGCATAATAGTATTGTACTGCTAGGTTCTACTGCTACTGTACGCAGCTTTGAGCCCTTAATCCTGCAACTGAAGGGTCACTCGGCTTCGTTGACAAACCAGTATCTTGCTTTCCGTCACTGTCAGTCAGATTGCATATTGTTAATACATTTGTCACTACTGGTAAATTAAAGGCTAATAGTGTTGAACTGTTGTCGTGTAGTATGTCAAAGGTTCAGTTAAGCCGATGAGACAATCAGCCGTTCTGTGATACACCCATTGATTTCGACGATAAATTGGTACTGGTAAATACCAGGTAGTCAAACCCACCATCAGCTTGCTTGTAAGCAATACCCTCGAAGATGGAAGCCATCGACAGTCTTGCCAGCGATGATTGTTGGCAGTTAGGCAACTTCGTGATTGCCTCCGTCTCACTAAGAGCGAATACGAAGGTTGGGGGGAGGAGGTTGATTTTTGGTGCTCACTGAGGTATAAAAAGGGGCTTTTAATGTTCCTAATAGCGACATTAAAAAACAATCACCAACTTTTATAATTTACTTTCCTTTACGATCCGAATAAATTTGAGTTGTACACCTTAGTGAACTCTGCTCGGCATATTTTTTTTTTATAATTTTTTGTTATTTTGTTACTTTGATAAGTTTCCATTGCATTGTTGTGTACTGCCACGCCATCGGTGCTACTGATAATCTTTCTAATTTCACTGTAACTGAAGCTACATCCCTGGTGCTCATCTTTCTGATGGTTCCCTGCCTTTTTATTTCAGTCCTTTCGGAGAGTAGTGCTAGATGTGTGAAATTTCCTTCGCCACTTTTTTCCTGAACATATTTTTCATGCCGTTTGAGTTGTGGATTTCGACATTGGCAGTTTTAATCTGCTTTGAAAAAGACTTATTTTTTAGTTTCGCGTTTAGGTTCAGCGAAATACATTGGAGTGGATGAAACTCGTGTTGGCAACAAATTTGTGTGTGGCCTTCAAGACTTCCAGCCAGCGGCTGACTGTTATGATCTCATATGGGTGCAGTGGGTTACTGGTTATTTGACTGATGATGATTTCTGTAAATTTCTTCGTAGATGTAAGGTCAGTACATCGCTGTTTTTTTTTTTCCTCATTCTCAGGCGACTTGTACGATTTATTACGTATTTTTAATAAAATTCGAATTTTCAAAGTAAAAAGCCACCATCTATTCTTTATGAGAGGCAAGGTAGTAGGAAATAGCGCAAGTGGTAGTCACCGCAGAAGGCTGTCGAGCTTCCTTTGGAGTAAAGTGATGGCAGTTTCGATTATCCGGCATTTTCTAGGATCATTTTACCGTCGAATGAAACGGATAAATCATAGAAAAATTGGTTGTGCCAGGCCCAGAGTCCAGCTTCACTTCTGTTATTTTCTTACTACTGCCAGATGCATTGGAGGCAGCACATTTGTTATTGAAATTGATAAAGCGAAACTAAAAATCACTCCATGTTTCATTTTCTTTAAAAGGGAGCGAGGTGGGAGGGAAGCACTAAGAAGTGCCCAAAGAGATATCAAGTTGTCAGCCATCGTATGCAAAGCTACCGGCGACACTTTGTTCACAATGATTGCTCAGAAACAAGCTGAGGGCTGATAGTAGAATATGATAATTGATCATAAGTCGCATCGTTGGGCAATCCAGCAATTAGTGTTTTGTAGCATATTCATAGCCGGGGCGCGAATGGTCCCCCCCCCCTTCTTCCCTTTTCCCCAGCGACACAGGCACTAGTGCTGCAAAAGCCCGGGTCTGCTCATAAATAAAACTAAAGTAACTCTAAATAACAGTGTTACTACTCTGTTCCTAGCTTTTGCATAATTTCAGAGTGGAAGGAGGCGTATTTTATTTTTCGAACAGTTACTGTGTATGTGAGTTGCCTCAAAACTCCCTCAGTAGTGAAAGGTGGAGATGCTTGAGAAGTAGCCTGAGTTATAGCAAATGCCAACAGCAACCACCCACTGCCAAGGCTGTCGATGGTTCGCTGTTCTGAAGGTTGCTTACAGGCAAGCTGCCGCTGCATATACGGAGACCCATAAAGGTGTGCACAGTGACTTGTGTTCTAAAATTTGCACGAGTTTCAGGAGGGTTTGAAAGAAGGCGGTTGCATTGTTTTGAAGGACAATGTTGCGTCGTCGGAGGATGTGTACGATTTCGATGAGCAGGATAATAGCTGGACGCGTCCCCGCAGTGCTCTGTTGCGGCTTTTCAACAAAGCAGGCCTCAGTGTTGTTGCTGAGAGGAAGCAAACTCATTTCCCCAAAGGGATGCTTCGTGTTTATATGTTTGCATTAAAGTGATTTTTTTTGTTCGTCACTCATCGTTTGTTTTGGCTTTCGCTGTTCTGATTAAACAGTTCGATTCGCCGCGTCATTGCTTTTCGCACGTTTCGCGTCATATGCGTGTTACGATACTCTTCACGCACTCCACTTTCTCTCAGTCTGTTGTGGTTTGACCACTCGAAATTCCTGTTCCCGGCATGATTTTATCTGCTCAACTTTTTCTGTGTTTTTTTTTTGTTAGGATGATGCTTTTTGCTCTTTTTTTTTGTGTGAGGGAGAAGCTGGATTCGTATGTGTGCATAGAAAAGCAAAGGGATTTAAGTTGTCGATAGCGAATTTCTGAGGTATCGAAGCAGTTAGATATTGGGCTGTACAAAAATCAAAATCAACGTGGAAGTGCGAATTGTTGTTATTGGGTTTTTAGTGAAAAATGTTTAGATATGTAAGAACGGGAAAAATTGTGCAGGCAGCGAAACATGGGGGAGGGAGAGGTGAGAACAAAAAAAGCAATGCGCACCAGACTAGTCAGTGCGATCATGCGTTTTGCGCAATTCAGCCCATCGAACGATTGCCTGTTAATGATTTTCACTGCTTTCTTTACGCAAGAATAGTTCAGACATTAGAAAATAATTAAAAATTTCACGCACCAGCGCATGGAAGCTGTATTCGAAATCTTGAAGGGTGCATATCTTTCCGTGATTGCCAAGTTAACAGTTTAACCGCCAAAATTCTCACGAGGCCGTGGGTGTGGGAACGCTGAATTTGAACAGGCAAGGTTGAGCGTGGACAGGGGAGTCATTACCCTAAAATTTCAGCTTCCTTGACCCCGTCATTCTCAAGATAATCATCTACCCGCAAAAACTTTCACTAGCCCGTAGGTGATACCCGAGACCGCGGGAACGTTGGACTTCAATGGGCAAGGTTGATCGTGGGCAGGGGGTCACTACCGTAAAATTTCAGCCTCCTAGAGTCCGTGGTTCCCGAGATATTAACTTACCCGTGGAAAAAACTTTCCCGGGGCCGTACGCGTTACCCACGGGTAAGGGAAGGCTGAATTTAAATGGGCAAGGTTGAGCGTGGGCAGAGGGCCACTACCCTAAAATTTCAGCCTCCTGGACTCCGTGGTTTCCGAGATATTGATTTACCCGTAAAAAACTTCT